ACAGACAGACAGACAGACAGACAGACAGACAGACAGACAGACAGACAGACAGACAAACAGACAGAGCATGTAACCATTATTGTCAAAACTGTTATTCCTCAAAGAAACCTTAGAACTCTCTGAAGCAAAATGCAAGCTGCCGATTTATCTCTTAGAATAACAAACTGACAAGATCTTTCGCCGTATATAGCCGAGTACCCATTCCCACATGGGTGAAGTGAGGAAAACTAGTGTGAACTGCCTTTCCTAAGTACACAACGGGGTTCGAACCCATGATCTTCTGACAACGAGACGGGCAGTCTAGCCACTAGGCCACCAATATCACATAGAAGTCCTAGAACGTTTCGTGGGTGACTGGCGTGCACTCTGGTGTGGTTTGCTTCATCTTGAAGACCCTGGAGAAAAAGTTGCGGGAAGAAGAAGACAGGGAGACAGCAGACCACCACACACTCATTAGGATGCGGGAAATGGGGATGGGGAGGGGAGAAGGAAGAAAGGAACGATTCTCTGGAAAGGGAGGAAAGACGTCGCCATAATCAGACAGCCACCGGAACAATCAGTATGGATACCTTGCGGGCTTTGGTGCTGGGGGAACTGAGCACTTAAGGACCTGTCCGGTGTGCAATGACGTTGTTGCCAAAGGACAGGTAATACAGGTTGCTTCATCTTTCGTTCGTACCTCTCCTACTTCTTTTATTTGTCTGCTAGTCAGTAAAAAACAAAACAAAAAACAAAAACAAAAAAAAAAACACACAAAAAAACGCACCCCGTAGTCTTCAGCACTTGTATGACCTAATTCTGTTGCAAGTGCCGTAAAACTTTTATTGAAACTGAACACATAACTGTCGTCTGGTTCAGCCCGACGTACGCACCATCTGTCTTTTTTTCCCCCACGTCTGCAGCGCCCACCGACGTAAACAGAGCAAAACGAAGTGTGAAACGTGCGCGCGAAAAACTGCCAACGTCATGCTGAAAAAACCCAGCGCGCCTGATCTGTCAATCGAATTCGTTGCTCTACTCCAGGCCTTCTACTGTTTTGAATACCCCCC